TTTTTTTTTTTTTTTTTTTTTTTTTTTTTTTCTTTTTTTCTTTTTAGGGGTCATAAAAGCCTTGGACAGCATAAGCAGAAAGATGTTAAGGGCAAGTTTTCAACCAAAAAAACTTGTAGAAAGAACGAACATGAGAATTAGTACCAGACAAGTCCGAGTATAGATACACATTCCACCAATAACAACTGCACAAATATGGGTTAACACTAGTTGACAGAATTATCTAAATTCCGCATGACAGAAATCCTGAAAAACAGAAAATTTCCATGATTTATTTAATGTCAAGCCAAATCTCACAATCCATTTGTGGAAAAACATAATCTGAATTTTTCATAAGACTGTTTTTAATCCTTAGTTATTCCATTTAATGTGACCATGTGTTTCATTAGTGGATTAACAACACTTGTCTGGAGTTATATGCTCTATCTTAAAACTTTCTAAAATCTAAAAACAAAACCTAGGATATTCTGAAACATCTCTCTTCTCAGGAAATTCAGGTTTATGGGCTTGTAGCACAAAAGGTTATGTTTGAGAATTTAATGATAATATACATGAAGCCAAGGACAGGGCTTAAAACATTTTAAACTTTTCTCCAACTGCTGCCAAAACAGAATTTATATGGTGAAAACAGAACTTAATATAAACTAAGGCCTTTACAGTGGAACTCAGCTTTTTATATTTAGAGACTTTGAAATATACAGTGTGAGCCTATGGAATAATAAAAACTAAAAACCAATCTCCTTGCCTGGACAAGCACCTCAAAAACCCCACTCCTGCTCAGACTCGGGCTGTGTCCACCATATCACAGCTCCTTGCTATTGGAACTTTCTGGCAAGGTCCACACAAAGTGCCACATCACCTAGTCAACGGCATGCTTTGTGAACCCTGAAATGTTGGTTGAGGCAAGTTTTGATGAGGAAATCAGAACATGGGGGGGATCATTCTGAAATAAGAGCTTCAGATACAGATGGTTTGAGAACCTACTAAAATTGTGTGCAAAACAGTATATAGATATGTATATTACTCTGAGTATAGGGTTCTCATATTCTTAAAGTGGCAAGAATGACCTAAAAGGGATAAGAATGAGTATAATTAAGACTCAGCGCCAGACACGGTGGCTCACACCTATGATCTCAGAACTTTGGGAGTCCATGACAAGAGGATCTCTTGAGGCCATGAATTAGAGACCAGCCCTGGCAACATACTGAGACCCTCTCTCTATTATAACTATAACTAATGTTTTAAAAAATACCCACAAACAGTTAAAGGAGATATAAATTCAAAGCAACAGTATCTACTCCTAAAAGCAGTTAATTTTTTCAAGTCAAACAAAATTTTGCCTGCTTAGGTAATATTTAATATTTCAGTGTTAATTCAGAACATTTATTTCCAGTACAGCATTATGCTTGTGGCAAATATTCCGAAATATTTTACATTTAATTTTTATATTAAATTTAAATTAATTAGAAACATTTTCATTTTTTGGGTGTTTCAATTTTGTCCCATCAGGAAGAACTCTGTTCTAAAAATAACCTATGGGGACAGATCACAGGGTAGTACTGTTTTGCAAAACCTTTACTGGCAAAGCACTATTCTGGGATAGGCTTAATAATTCACATTTACTCTCTTTCTCATGAGTAATGTGGGCATGTTAAATAAATGCTAATAAAACTGGTACAGTACATCACCACACATGTATATATACAAAGCACAATACCTATCTATATTATATACAAAACAAGTAAAAACCTGGCCAAGAATGACTAACTGGCAGTTTTAACAAATACTATGAAGAATTCAAACACAATTCACACTATTACATCAACAGGATGGCCCCAGGGAATAACAGTCCCCCTCCCCAAGATAATCATCTCCAACTCTCAGGGTCCATTTCATCCTCTTCTTTCCTCTACTACTCTAGACCGATTACAGTAAGAGTAGTCAGAAACCTTACCCTCCCCTGCTGCTCTCTTAAGCAGGTGTCCACTGACACAATAACTCAACGTTAGTCAGGTTAGAACAATAATGCTAGACAATATGACGAAGATGGGCTGGGCATGGTGAATCACACCTGTAACTCCAGCACTTCAGGAGACTAATGCAGAAGGATTCCTTGAGCCCAGGAGTTCAAAATCAGCCTAGGCAACAAAGAGAAACCTCATCTCTACAAAAAACAAGTAAATAAATAAAAATTTGCAAGGTGTAGGGGTGCATGCCTGCTGCTTGAGAGGCTGAGGTAGGAGGACTTGAGCCCCAAGAAGTTGGGGCTTGCGGTGAGCTGTGATCACACCACTGCACTCCAGCCTGTGTGACAGAGCAAGACACTGTTTCAACGACAAAGGTGAAGATAAAGGTAGTACTCTATTTCAAGCCAAAAGAGGGATTTAAGTTTAAAAATTCTAGAATTTAAGACACTCCAGAGAGCTAGTAACATGAGGGGAACAAGCTAATTAGAAAATGATATTACAGTAGAAATACCTCAGGGGAACACAAGATGGAGATGAAATCCATGCACAGCAATTCTGAATATAAAGTGTGAATCATTTCCTGGATAAGCCAACAAAAAGATTTCTAGATCACAGGTATACCTTATAGCTTACTTCATACACTATTTCTTAAACAAGTATAGATAAGTGTAAGCACTTTAAAAATGTCAATGAGGACCAACCTGTTGTATGACCTCAGCCAAAAACAAAACAAAACAAAATGTATTTTACATAAAGCTGTATTCTTATAACTAAAGCAGAGATGATGGTTTTTTCTTCTCTAGAGACTAAAATATACTATTTTAATAAATATATAGTCAGTGGTTTCAAGTCTACAGGGACAACCCACAAAATTGGTATGAATATTTATACCTACATTAATAATAAAAAAGGATAGACAGTGACTATAGAGGGTAGAGAGGAAGTAGGAGATGGGGGAGACCGGTGCGTTCCAGTAGACATAAAATGGGAAGTTCCAAAATGTAATGGTATAAAAGCATTATATAATCAATCCTAACAAAATGTCACTACCTTAAAAATTTCACTAAATTTCTCTGGTCAGTGAACTTTTTAAAATAATTGCTGGAAATCTTTGCGTTTCACAGTATAAAAAAACTTTACAGCAACTAAGAAGTTCTGATGCTGGCTTCTTTGATCAACAGTGCAGCGCTGCCAACCGTAACACTGGGATGCTGTGAAATATACTGCGTCTAACTCTTCTAATGACCTGTTGTAAGTGTTTTCATCTCATGGAGACAGCATAAAATTACTGCCTATGGAATCAGAAAAATGTCTTGTACAAAGATTAAGATGACGAATGTAGCTTTTTCTGATTTTTCTGATGATTTTTGTTACCTCTTCCTTTAGTGCATGTTTCCGCTGCTCCAAGCATATCTCTTTAGCTCTCATCATCTGCAAAGTTTCTTTAGAAACTGCATACTGGAGTTTTTCCAGCCGTTCAGCAGCCGCTGCCCATGATGCTTTACCAAATTTCTTCTGATCTGCTCGCATTCGATCATACACAGCTATTAATAATTTTTTAAAGAGAAATTAAGACAAACAATACTGAAGTATTTGAAAAAGATTTCACTGGCCACAGAGAAAAACAAATCCTGCTGTCATGATAAACTGCTTATAACAATTTTTAAATATAAATTGAGAGTATCTTAAATTCTAATGTCTTCAACTTGTCCTCAGAAATAACATTCTGCAGTTAAAACATTGTAAAATTAGCTTTTAGAAATTTTAAAAATACTTTCACACGTCCAGTGTCATTAACTTTCAAAGTTTCAAGGAAAACATTAATTCTGTGAGGTTTTATAAGCTTTTTCCCTCAGTATGTTAGTAGAAACATAATTATTTATAATTCATATTTTAATTATATATATTTGAATATATATCTAGAAAAGACTGATAGGATTTGTCTTAATTTGCTAACAGTGGTCTTCTGTAACCGCTGGGATTATGGGTGATCCTTATATATTTTTCTATGTAATTTTTCTGAACATAAAATACTTAACAACCACTCATTTCCAAAAATACCTAATGGATAATTTTACTGAGAAACTTACCTTTTTGAGCTTTAGCTGTTATTTCAAAATACTTGACAGTAAGATCTTGAATAGACAGTACCGCCATGTGAGCTTTCCGCTGCCAATCAGCATCTTCTTTTTGTAGACTCTCAATTCTTCGAGGTCCCAGATAATCATTCTCCATGGAAATCTTTAGAGAGAAAAGGAAAAAATTAAGAAGTTCACTTTTTTCGTCTACCCATTCCTTAAACACTTAAAATTTATATACCACAAAGAATACCCGTTCTTCCCTGCTCCAGAGGAGAAGCTATTAATTTATAAAACAAGTTAATTAACAGTAATACTGAAGATATTTGCCACAGAAACCTATTTCCATTCTGCTCTTTCTTCCATCCCCGACTCCGTACATAGGCAACAGATATATACCAAAATGTTAAGACTGACTGTTTTTTAATTGTCTCAATGAGGAATTTATTTCCTCCTCTATGATAAACTCTATTTTTTAGTTAAGACTTATTTGTGCCCCCCCCCAATTATTTAAATTGTTTATTTCCTTAACAGCCACTAAATAAAACAATTGAAAACTTGGATTTTCAGATGGACAATATAAAAATCAGCCTATTTGCATACTGAAAAGACTTTAGATAACAGTAACAGAGGAAGGCCGGGTATGGTAGCTCAGATAGATGAAAATCAAAGGATGGACAGGAATGAACTGGGTGAATGCTAAAACAAAATTTAAAGAAGTGATAATATTAAAAGTATATTTCAAAACACCACACAAGTATGTTTTAACACGGAAGAAGGTACAATCAAGGACTGCAATGGATCACTTATACACACAATCTTGCTTTACCATATATAGAGAAACGGTTA